AGAGTCGGGGCAGCCAAAGCAGCGCCTCTGGCCAGGAGCTGAAACCCGTGAGGGGCACCCAGCGCGTGCCATCCTCCAGGTGGGACCTGGGGATCCCCCGGCATTACAGCTCACTTCCAGACTTAACAGGGATCGGTTCCCCTGGAGGAAAGGGATGCTTTGGAGGGTGGACTCCCTGTGGCATTGCTTCCCACCCAGGTCCCTCCTTAAACCCCCCCCCCCCAAATCTCCAGGAGTTTCCCAACCTGGAGCTGGCAACCCCCCTCCCTCCCCCCGCCGGTGGCAGGGGGGGACCTGGCGACTGGGCTGCAGGAAGAGATGGGGAGGCAGAGGAAACCCCCCCCCCACATGCCTAGTCTGCTCCTGTCTCTATGTGGCAGCATCCACATCTAAGCAAGGGTTGGGGGTGGGGTGGAATCTCTTGGCCTCCAGCTTTTTTGTGCCTCAGTGGCCCATTTGGAAAAGTGTGGAGGGAGCAGAGAGTCGAAAGGCATAAAATGGGGTGTGGGGGGGATGGAGAAAGATGCAAGTGCCTCCCCCCCCCCTTTCCTCCAGCTGAACGACACTATGAGCTTTTTCTACAGGGTGCATTGCTTTTCTGGCCCCAGTTTGGTGCAGTGGTTAAGGGCACGGACTCTCATCTGGGAGAACCGGGTTTGATTCCCCACTCCTCCACTTGCAGCTGCTGGATGATCTTGGGCAAGCCGTAGTTCTGGCAGAGCTGTGCTCTCAAAGACAGTTCTGTAGTAGTAGTAGAATTTATTACGGTCACTAGACCAACCACATATATATGGGTCATTTCCTGCGGGAGCGCACAGGAGCAGAGCTCCTGCAGTAAGGAGCCCAGGGGGCGGGCATATGCAACAAACCCCGCCCCCTGCTCCCAGCAGCTCTCAGTTCGGCCATGAGCAAGAAGCAGCCAGGTATGTTGCAGAGCCCCCCCCCCTTTTCAGGGACAAGCCTCCCCTTCTCTGTGAGGGCAGATCTGCACGTGTCCCCCCCCCCATAGCTAGCAATCCAAAACAGTCCAGTGGAGCCTGAGTGGTGGGTGTTGCCTTCTGACACACTTCCGGTAATGTCAGGGGGTGTGGCATATGCAGATAAGTTATGCTAATGAGTTATGCTAATGAGCTCCTGCACCTCTTTTTCTACGAAATGACCTCTGACCCTTATAATAGTAGCCAAGGACAGGTCTGGAAAGAGCTCTCTCAGCCCCACCCACCTCACAGGGTGTCTGTTGTGGGGAGGGGAAGGGAAAGGAGTGTGTAAGCCGCTCTGAGACTCCGAGGGAACTCCAATCTCCTCGTCCTCCTCCTCTTTGGGTGTCTGAGGGTGGTGGAGCTGGAGGAGCAGAGGCCCAGGGCCAGGGTTGCCAACTCCTGCGAGGAACTAGAGTTTTTGCCAGAAAAGGGCATTCTGCAGTGGTCTGGTCTGTGGGTTTGGGAAGTAGATGAGGAGATCGGCTCATGGCGGGAAGGGGAGGGGAGAACAGGAAGAGATTGGACTTATTCCCCGCCCTTCACTACCCAAAGGTGTCTCAGAGCGGCTTACAAACTCCTTTCTCTTCCCCTCCCCACAACAGACACCCTGTGAGGTGGGTGGGGCTGAGAGAGCTCTTGACAGAAACTGCTCTTTTTTCAAGAACACCTCTCATCAGAACTACGGCTTGCCCAAGGTCATCCAGCCAGGTGCAAGTGGAGGAGTGGGGAATCAAATCCGGTCCTCCCAGATTAGAGTCCGCGCACTTAACCACGACACCAAACTCTGTAGTGGGAGTGGGAGGCCGAGTGGGAGGCCAGGCACCCAAGTGAAATCCTAAACCAGCTCCAGGGACTGAAAGCTTTCCCATTCCTCCTGTCCCCCCTCACAGGTAGCAGAATGGCATCCTGGATCCAGGCCCTCCCTGGGGAGGAAACAGTAATTCTACATCCTGCTCAGGTAAGGGAAGGATCCCCCTGAGGCAGACCCGAGGGGCTCGTTGGGGGGTGGTCAACTGATACACTCCTTTTTCCTACTTAAAGGCATTCAGGCCTTCTTACTCCCATTTCTTAGCCCATTTGGGGGGGAGGGGCCGTGGCTCAGTGGAAGAGCCTCTGCCTTGCATGCAGAAGGGCTCAGGAGCCATCCCCACGGACATCTCCAGTTGGAAGGATCACGCAGGAGGTGATGGGCAGGGCCTCTGCCTGAGACCCTGCAGAGCTGCTGCCAGTCTCCGTGTGTGTGGCATAGCCAGGAGATCCTATGATTGTCTGGCCGCCAGACGTTCTAGCTCTTTAGTGTTATCCAGGGTGCACCACGAGGAGGCGCGCTAGAATTGCACTTTGGCAGTTGTGCAGACCTGTTGTTTAAATGGGGCAAAATACCAGGACCCGGATGCGATTGTGGCGCAGTCCGCCAAACTGTTTTCCAACGGTCACAGGAATATGAGCGTCGGGCTTTCCAGGGTGATGTGATGGAGCTCTCTGAACTCTCCCCAGCTGCGATTGAGTGGATTGAAAATTTAGATATTCGTATTAAGATATTCACCCAGTTGGTCTGCATACCCACTGTATCAACTTGGTTACGTATTTTATAGACTTACATGCTTCCTGTGTGTAATTCTGCCATATGATAAATAAATGAATGCTGCCAGTCTGAGTGGACAAAACTGGTCTTGAAGGACCAATGGTCTGATTCAGTATAAGGCGGCTTCATGTGTGACTCAATAGTATCATATCCTCAGAAGGCATGGGATAGAGCAGCCCATCCAGTCCAACACTCTGTCACACAGTGGCCAAAAATACCAGGTGCCATCAGGAGGTCCACCAGTGGGGCCAGGACACCAGAAGCCCTCCCACTGTTGCCCCTCCCAGGCACCAAGAATACAGAGCATCACTTGCCCCAGCCTGAGAGTTCCTATCTATACCTTGTGGCTAATAGCCACTGATGGACCTCTGCTCCATATGCTTATCTAATTCCCTCTTGAACCCGTCCATGCTTGTAGCCGCCACCACTCCTGTGGCAGTGAATTCCATGTGTTAATCACTCTTTGGGGGAATAAGGACCTCCTTTTATCTGTTCTAACCCAACTGCTCAGCAATTTCATTGAGTGCCCACGAGTTCTTGTATTGTGAGAAAGGGAGAAAAGTACCTCTTTCTCTACCTGCTCTTGTAAACCTCGATCATGTCACCCCCTCAGCCGTCGTTTCTCCAAGCTAAAGAGCCCCAAGCGCTTTAAAAAATTTTCATAGGGAATGGAAACACCTTTAATGATTTGTCACTCACTGGATGATTAAAGAAGATACCTATTTTTCCTTACAAGATTTCGTTATCCTGTCGTGGTTGTTTTTCCTTACTATGTTCTCCTAGATCAGTGATGGCGAACCTTTTAGAGACTGAGTGCCCAAACTGCGACCCAAAACCCACTTATTGATCACAAAGTGCCAACACGGCAATTTAACCTGAATACTGAGGTTTTACTTTAGAAAAAACAACCCATAACATTAATTTAAGATGATCCAAACAAAGTAAGGAAAGCAATCCCAAATGCTGTCATTCACTTAAAGTTATTTGGCAGAGAATTCGACACTTTCATGATGGTCTAGGCCTGGCTGGGGCGATGGCACGCGTGCCCACAGAGAGGGCTCTGAGTGCCACCTCTGGCACCCGTGCCATAGGTTCGCCACCACTGTCCTAGATCCTAGCCTGACACTTTAACCACTACCCCATGTTGGCTTGAAAGTCAAAGCTCCCTCCGTCAGATACCAGCTTCGAGTCTGGAAAGCTTTTGCCCTGAAGCTCTTATTGATATGTACGGTGCCATCCACTGAACTCGAATCTGGTTCTTCTGACTGCGGACTAACGTGGCTGCCCTTCTGAAACTGTCTTCACCAGGGAGAAAAGAAGAGTATAAATAAATAAAAGCCAGGCCTGTTTGAAGTTCTGAGTCCTGAGTAACAGTACCCAGGACCCGTACCTTCATTTTTCTGTTCAGAAGGTGAGCGACAGTGTTTCCGTGTTTGGGAAGTTATTTATATTTTCTTCTTCTTCTAGGGGCCGGTGACCTTTGAGGAGGTGGCTGTGTATTTCACGGCGGGCGAATGGGCTCTGCTGGATCCGGACCAAAAAGCTCTGTACAGAGAAGTCATGCTGGAGAATTATAGGATCTTGGCCTCTCTGAGTTCCTCTTCGCCTATTGATGCAGAAGGTAGAAATGTCTGTACTCTCTAGGTCTCCTTGCATTGTAAGGATAAGAACATCAGAAGAGCCCTGCTGGATCAGACCAATGAGGTCCACCTAGTCCAGCATCCCATCTCACACAGTGGCCAACCAGTTCCTCTGCAGGACCAACAACAGGGCAGGTAGATTCATGGAGGATATGTCTATCAGTGGCTGCTAGCCATGGTGTCTGAGGAGAACCTCTATATACAGAGGTGGTCAACCTCCAAATCCCAGAGCCAGGAGGCAACATGAGGGGAAGAACTTTGGCCTCTGTGCCTTGTTGTTGGCCCTCTAGAGGAAGTGGTTGGCCACTGTGTGAGACAGGATGCTGGACTAGATGGACCACTGGTCTGATCCAGCCGGGCTCTTCTGGTATTCTTATCGGTAGATTCATGGAGGATAAGTCTATCAGTGGCTACTAGCCATGGTGACTGAGGAGAACCTCCATATACAGAGGCAGTCAGCCTCTGAATCCCAGAGCCAGGAGGCAGACTAAGGGAACACCTTGACCTCTCTGCCTTGTTGTTGGCCCTCCAGAGGAACTGGTTGGCCACCGTGTGAGGTAGGATGCTGGACTAGATGGACGGTTGGTCTGATCCAGCAGGGCTCTTCCTATGTTCTTATGGCTAACATTTTCCTAGCAATTTCTTCCTACTCCACACCCAGGGGGCTTTAAAAATGGTTCATTCACACTACAGGATTTCTTTTTTAAAAAAAGAAGCCCTTCTGTGACTCAGCAAGGAAAGTGGTAGCCATGGGATTGAGGAGTATAGGGAGGAAGCTCCGTGTGTGAAATGCTAAGGTGGCTACCTCTGATTTTGCAGCAATGTGGAAAACCCTCATCATGTGGAAACCACCTCATAGCCTTGTTGGCGTGGCTCCACCTTGTAGACTTGTTAGTGTGGCTCACGTGGCTGCTGCCCTTTTGGATGCTGCTTGGAATCTGGGTGGCTGCAGGCGGATGTAATATTGGCATTAGCGGTAGCTCCTGCTTCAGCCAAGTTTGCAGTTTATACACAGTAATGTGTCCAGTTCGGCCCAAGAGACTCAGTGACGTTGTAGCAGCAACACCAATTCCCGGTTGAATATGGCCTGCTCTTTTTATCTAATATTCTGCTCTGTGAGTGGCCACGTGCGTCTGGGGACCAGAAGGGTCATAATGATGTTGCTGACTCTTGAGTGGCTGTGGCCAATCAGCACAACCCACAGCTGGGTTTTATGCAAAACTGCCCCAAGGAGGGGAGGGAGGAGGGCTCTTGAGTGGCTGCAGCCAATCAGCACTGCCCACAACCAGGTTTTATGCAAAACTGCTCCAGGGAGGGGAGGGAGGAGGGCTCTTGAGTGGCTGTAGAAGAAGAAGAAGAGATTGGATTTATACCCCGCCCTTCACTACCCAAAGGTGTCCCAGAGCGGCTTACAAACTCCTTTCCCTTCCCCTCCCCACAACAGACACCCTGTGAGCTAGGTGGGGCTGAGAGAGCTCTTTCAAGGACTGCCCTTGAGAGAACAGCTCCAAAAGAACTTGTGACTGACCAAGGTCACCCCAGCAACTGCAAGTGGATGAGCAGGGAATCAAACCCGGTTCCATCTGATTGGAGTCCGCTCCCTCAACTGGCATGTCTGTTTTCTTTCTTTTTTATTAATAATTTTTCAACATTTCAACTTTTCAGCTTTTCAAATACTGTGTCATAGATAACAATCACTCTATAAATCTACATTTACAATCCCATTTAAACCTTCCAGTACATAGATGTCTTAAAATACTAAATTGTCCTATGTCAAAAATATATCATATCCTGATACAGGGGGTTATTAGCCATGATGTTTTTGGCTATCATATAACTTATTACTGGATACCAAACTGTTACTATTTTTTTCTTGTAATTAAATGGGGATGAATTAGAGATATTGATTGCCATTTTGCTTAAAACATGTCTGTTTTCTTTAAAGAAATTCCCAAACCTGACTTGATCTCCTGGCTGAAAGAAGAGGAAGACCTTTTTGTCCAGGATCCCGAAGAAGTCAAGAGATGTTCAGGTAGCTGGATATTTGTGGGATTGCTTAAGAAACAGGAAAAACTCTCTCACAGGCTGTGAGTTTTCCTGGTAGACATCTTGTGTGGCTTTTGGAGTACATGTTCCTAACCACTTGGCACCTCACAAGATCAGCCTCTGCAAAGTTGGGGTTTTTTTATGTTGTTGTTTGTTTCCATAAGAAGGGATATGAATGCTGGATGGCTCCCCTGTCTATGGTGAAAGATTTTAGTTTTGATCTCCTAATGCCCTACATCATCTTCTTCTTCTTCTTCCTCTTCTTCTTCCTCTTCTTCTTCCTCTTCTTCCTCCTCTTCCTCCTCCTCTTCTTCTTCACCTAATGCCCCAAACCAGGCACAAATCATTTTAGTTTCTGGTGTGTTTTGTGCAGTTTTTAAGCCCTTCGCCCATTGGAAGTGGATGTGCTTGCTGGAATATTTCTGTGCATATTGATGATTTATGTATTTTGTGCCACAGACATTTTTATCCTGAAATTTGATGCTGCTGATGTATATTTTGGATCATTTTTAAAGGTGGGGGTTAGGGTGTTTTATCTTGTGCTGGTTGACCCTGATCTGGCCTAATTCAAGTAAAGGCCTGCACTCAGGGCTCTTTTTGTAGCAGGTACTCCTTTGCATATTAGGCCACACACCCCTAATGTAGCCAGTCCTCCAAGAGCTTACAGAGGTCTTCTTCCTGCTACAAAAAGAGCCCTGCATGCACTTAAGAAACTCTAGAGGTCTAGTTAACTTTCGTGTATCAGATCATTTAATTCCTGGCACGAGGTACATCTTCAGAAGGTCTTAGGTTCGCTACAGGTAGTACTATTAGAGAATCTGGCTTCCATGTCAGTCTTTTATTAAAACATAATTATCACATTGCTAACATTGCTCAAGTGGAGGTACCGCTTCAGTGGGAAGGTAACAGTGTTCCGTGCGCCTTGGTGTTTAGTCATGCCGGCCACATAACCACAGAAACATCTTCGGACAGCGCTGGCTCTTCGGCTTTGAAACGGAGATGAGCACCACAACCCTAGAGTCGGACTCGACTGGCTTTCGAGCAAGGGACCCTTTACCTTTTTTAACATTAGAAAAGAGGATCCCGAAGTAACACCTTAAAGACAAACAAAAATTGTGTTGGGGTATGAACTTTTGTGAGTCACTGCTCATTTCTTTGGAGGACTCACAAAAGAGCTCCTCCCCTTTAAGGCACTCCTGGACTCTTGGTGCTCCTGGACAAGATGGGTCGACTAACAAGGTCGACCCATCTTGATCTATTGCTAACATCAACTAAATCAACAGAAAATGATACCATTCATTACTGCTACATAGATAATTAAAGGAGACCAATTACATCACTCAGAAAAGTGTCTTACCCAAAGATAAGCGAGTTACAAGCAAGGAGCCCCTTCTAAGAAAAATCTCCCAGTCACCTCAGATTCTGATATTTCTCAGTGTTTAGAATAATCTCTTAACAACAGGTCACTGTCCCAATTGATAAGGGTGCATATTGTTTCCTAACTGATTATCTTAAAGCTTCAAACAAGGTTATGTATACTTAAATATGAAAATTATTGGTTCATTCTTGCTACTTGTTACCTTAACAAGGTCTCTTTAAAAAAACATTGATTACAGGTTTCTCAGAGCCAGCTGTGGTGTAGTGGTTAAGAGTGGCACGTTCTAATCTGAAGAACCGGGCTTTTCCCCACTGCTCCATATGCACCCAGCTGGGTGACCTTGGGTCAGTCACAGTTCTCTCAGAGCTGTTCTCTCAAGAGCAGTTCTCAGAGAGCTTTCTTAGCCACACCTACTGCACAGGGTGTCTGCTGTGGGGAGAGGAAGAGAAGGAGAATGTAAGCCACTCTGAGACTCTGAGTAAAGAACGGGGTATAAATCCAATCTCCTCCTCCTTCTCCTCCTCTTCTTCCTCTTCTTCTGTACTGGCCCTAGTTGAACATATGAATATCAGCATTTATTCATTGGGTCTGTTCTGCGTTTCTTCCTCATCTGCTTTCTCTCTTTATTTCTACAGGTGATATGAGAGAGAGTGAGAGAGAACAGCAGAGGATAAAAGCAGAAGCTAATCATACATTAGTTTCTTATGATGGAGCCAAATTCCATGGAATTCAAATTCAAGAAAAAAGTCACAAAGGAAGTAAAAACAATGAGTGTTTGCCATTTACAAAGATTTTAATTACTGAGACATCCCTTAGACCACAGGAGATAATACCCAATGAGAAGAAATGCTTAGTGTGTGGGAAAAGCTTCAGTCACGTTAAAAACCTTATTTCCCACAAAAGAATTCACATGGAAGAGAAACCATATCAGTGCTCAGAGTGTGGAAAGAACTTCAGGCAGAACGTTCATTTGATTCAACATCAAAGAATCCACACAGGGGAGAAACCATATCAATGCTCAGAATGCGGGAAGAGGTTTAGTCACAGCTCAGGACTTGTTTACCATCAAAGAATCCACAGAGGAGAGAAACCCTATAAATGTTCAGAGTGTGGAAGGAGTTACAGTGACAGCTCAAGCCTTACTTCTCATCAAAGAATCCACACAGGGGAGAAACCATATAAATGCTTGGAGTGTGGACAAAGTTTCAGTGTGAGATCAAGTCTTACTACCCACCAGAGAATCCACACAGGGGAAAAGCCATATCAGTGCTTGGAGTGTGGAAAGCGCTTCAGTCAGAATTCAAATCTTAACTCCCATCAAAAAATCCACACAAGAGAGAAACCATATAAATGCTTGGAGTGTGGAAAGAGCTTCAGTCAGAGTTCTGGCCTTACTTCTCATCAAAGAATCCACACAGGGGAGAAACCGTATCAGTGTTCCGAGTGTGGGAAATGCTTTAATATCAGCTCAAGTCTTACTTGCCATCAAAGAATACACACAGGGGAGAAACCATATCAATGCTCAGTGTGTGGGAAAAGCTTCAGGCGGAATCTACACCTTGTTCAACATCAGAGAATCCACACAGGAGAGAAACCGTATCTGTGTTCTGAATGTGGGAAGAGCTTCAGTATCAGCTCAAGCCTTACTGCCCATCAAAGAATCCACACAGGAGAGAAGCCATATACATGCTCTGAATGTGGGAAGAGCTTCTGTTCCAGGTCAATTCTTACTTCCCATCAAAGAATCCACACAGGAGAGAAACCGTATCTGTGTTCTGAATGTGGGAAGGGCTTCATCCAGAGCTCAAGCCTTATCTCCCATCGGAGAATTCACACAGGGGAGAAACCATATACATGCTTACAATGTGGGAAAAGCTTCAGTCACAGTTCAAGCCTTATTTCCCATCAAAGAATTCACGATGGGGAGAAACCAGAATAATAAGCACTCTATGAATACAGTTTTGTGAAAAATCACAACTGAGTTACAGAACAGAGAGATGCTCTGTTTCATTAAGGAATGGTCAATTTATGTCATTATCACTGAAAATAAGAACATAAGAACATAAGAGACGCCAATGTTGGATCAGGCCAAAGGCCCATCCAGTCCAACACTCTGTGTCACACAGTGGCCAGAAATACCAGTGCCATCAGGAGGTCCACCAGTGGGGCCAGGACATTAGAAGCCCTCCCACTGTTGACCTCCCCAAGCACCAAGAAGACAGAGCATCACTTGCCCCAGAGCCCCTATTTATTTATTTATTTTATTTACATTTTTATCCCGCCCTCCCCGGAGGCTCAGGGCGGCTAACAGGCATGTAGCTAATAAAACATAAAAGCAGTACAAAATATCTATACCTTGTGTCTAATAGCCACTGAAAATCTATTTCATCTTTGAAAAGAACTGTCTAATAGAATCAGAGTTGGAAGGGATCTCCAGGGTCATCTAGTCCAACCCCCTGCACAATGCAGGAAATTCACAAATACCTCCTCCCCCACACCCCCAGTGACCCTTGCCCCATTCCCAGAAGATGGCCAAAAAACCCTCCTGGAGAAAAATTGCTTCCTGACCCCAAAGTGGTGATCTGCATTTCTCTGGGCATGTAAGAAAGGGACACAAGAACTAAGCACTGATGCAACCCTTCCTGCCCACCCTTCTCGTGATCTGTCTAAGTTCACAGAATCGGTGTTGCAGTCAGGTCCCCAATCTAGCCTCTGTTTAAAAATCTCCAAAGAAGGAGAGCCCACCACCTCCTGAGGAAGTCTGTTCCACTGAGGAATTGCTCTAACCGTCAGGAAGTATTGCCACATGTTTTTGAGGAGCTCCTCTGGTTTGAAGAATCAGAGTCAGGATCCTAGGATGGAATAACAAACTTAATATTCTTCTGTGAGCCACCCTGAGCCTGAACTAGCGGGGAGGGGAAGGTATAAATTGAAATAAATAAATAAAATGCTTGTGACATCCCATTCTCCCACTATTTTCAGGAATGTTTTATCACATTAAATGTTCAGTTTTTATTTTATGCCTAACATGTATTTTTGAACTATCTCCCCTGGTCCATTTCTGGAAGACATGCTTCTGTCCCCTGCCCCCGACTTGTTTTCAAGCACCCTATTATCGTCAGCAAGGGCATAATGAAATTTAGTCTCTTTATGGCTCTTGGAGGAGCTGCGGTGGCTCAAGTGGTTAAGACGCTGACCTGCAGGCTGTGGAAGGTCAGTAGTTCAGCAGTTCGAGACCCGGGCGCCGCATGATGGAGTGAGCTCCTGTCTCTAGTTCCCGCTCCTGCCAACCTAGCAGTTCGAAAGCAAGACATTGCAAGAAGATAAATAGGTACCACTTTGGTGGGAAGGTAACAGCGTTCCGTGCGCCTTGGTGTTTAGTCATGCCAGCCACATGACCACGGAAACGTCTTCGGACAGCGCTGGCTCTTCGGCTTTGAAACAGAGATGAGCACCGCAACCCTAGAGTCTGATTCGACTGGCTTTCCACCTCTATTAACGTCTTTGAGTCATTCCCTGATTTCTCCAATTACACAAATGGTCTCCCATTGAGTGTTCTCCCATCTTCCTTTCAGGAACAGAATGAAGTTGCCAAATTTTCTCCACTACACATTGAAAATATATAGAAAGTAATTATGTATCTTGGGGGAAATTCCTGCATATTGCCATAACTTTATATATGGTATGGGACTAGTATATTTGAAGGACCACCTACTCCCTTATGAACCTACCAGATGGCTATGGATATCTTGTAAGGCCCTGCTTTGGGTGCCTCCACCTTCTGAGTTTGGCAGATGGCATCCCAAGAAAGGGCCTTATTGCTCATGGCACCAAGATTATGGAACTCCCTCCCCAAGAGTATTTGTCTGTCCCCTTTTATCACTGTCTTCCGCAAAGGGGGTGAAGACATTTTCTGTTTTGTCTAGTGTTCTCACAATGAGACTCCTTCCTGCCCTATATTTTAAGTGATGTTTCTGTGTTTTTATACATGTCCTTTAGTTTTGGTTTTAATTTGATTAATTATTATTTTTTTAATATTGCTTTGTTTTAGTGGTTATCCGTCTTGGTAGCCATGATTGGGCTGAAAGGCAGGATGTAACTAAATAATTAACTCCTGAGTAAGGCTCCTAAGTAAGCTCAATAGTCATGGGATAAGAGGACAAATCTTCTTGTGGATTAAAAATTGGTTAATTAACAGGAAACAGAGAGTGAGTATAAATGGGCAATTTTCACAGTGGAAGGTGGTAAGCAGTGGGGTACCGCAGGGCTCTGTATGAGATCCGGTGCTTTTTAACTTGTTCACTGATAATTTGGAGTCAGGCGTGAGCAGTGAAGTGGCAAAGTCTGAGGATGACGCTAAGTTGTTCAGGGCAGTGAGAACCACGGAGGACTGCAAGGGATCTGTTGAGGCTGGGCAAGTGGGCATCAACATGCTGGTGGGACTGCCCACAAATTAAACGTTTCTGGAAAGAAGTAACAGCCCAAATTAAGGAGATAACGTCTCAGGAAATTGCGTTTAAACCAGAAGTTATACTCCTACATAGATGGGATGATTCGATAGTAGACAACACTAGGGAGACTTATCTCGACACTACTTGCGACAGCCAAATTGACAATAGCAGCAGGATGGAAATCACCCTCCCCACCCTCTTTGGCAGTGTGGCATGATAAATTATGGCAACAGTTCGTTATGGCCAAAATAGCGGACTCAATACAAAGAACACAACAGACAAGCATAGCTCCACGTATGAGATTTATTAAAACACTAGAAAAAAGGCCCGTTGTGGAAATAAATACAACGGCCTCTAGCAAGAGGCTCTGAGTGGGTGCCCCGACCTTGGACACTCAGTGTCAATTTGCTGTGGCGACCTCAGCAGGGTATAATGACACTGAGTCCACCATTTTCTCCAGAGGAACTGATCTCTGCTACCTAAAGAACAGTTGTAATTTTGAGTGATCTCCAGCCCTCACCTGGAGATTGGCAACGATGGTTCCCCAGAAGGGAATGGTTGGTTTGGAGGGTGGAGTCTATGGCTTTGTACCTGTCCGAGGTCCCACGCCTCCTGAAACCTCACCCTCTCCAGGCTCCATCCCTCACATCTCCAGGAATTTCCCACCTGGAGTTGGCAACCCTATCTCCTTCCCAGCCAATCATCAACCTACCTTTATTTCCCCCTCACTCTTCAGCTTTCCACCCCACACACTTTATAAGGGAGATGGTCACCGATACTAAATTATATGTCATGGGAAGGAATACTCCCGACTAACACCGCATATCATAAGTGGTTACACCTGTGAGATATACTAAGTAATCAGATATGCTAATAGGTTCAGACTCTGCACTTACACTCAAAATAACAATTACATCAATTATCAATACCAATATACCGAGGGGAACATATTATCACTTAATAACCAAAAGTAGTAGTGTACTGAGTAATGTAAAACAAAATATGAGTTATTTGTATATGTACTTTTCTTATTATAATAATAAAAATAAATTTACCAAAAAAAAAAAACCTGGCAAATAAGGTTCAACATGAGCAAGTGCAAAGTAATGCACATTGGAGCCAAAAATCCTAACTATATGGGGTCTGAACTGGTGGTGACTGACCAGGAGAGAGATCTTGGAGTCGTGG